GCCAATTCTGATTTTAGAGTGTTTGAGGGGGTTAGGAGGCTTGTCAATTCGTGTTTTATCTTGTAAATACTTCCTCTATTTATAGGCAATAAGTTTGAAGGAAGGAGAACATCGGATTTGCAAGTTGCAAGGTTATGGCTAGGTTACTTAATTTTGAAGCAACATTGAAGAACATGGTTCTAATACTTGTACTATGCCTTCTAGAGTAGTTGAAAAGTTTAAACATGCTTCTTATAATCTTGTAGGTTAAGTGTGTGAAGAAGAAACAATTTAGAGGCTCAAGGAGTTGACATTGTGACAAAGCTTGCTTTTCAAGGATGGCAATGGTGCCTTTCTTTCAAAATTGGAAAAGTGTCTTGGACAATGGCTCAAACACTTGGGTAATGGCTCAATAAGTTGTGTAAACAATTAATTATGGAGTTATTTTCAAGTTAGAAGCATGCAAAGCAAGATTATGCATCATAGGTTTGAGATTTGATCATGTGTTCTTCATGAAAATGCCTTGAAATTCAATAATGAATGCTCAACTTCATCTCTCGAATCTCTTAGCTCAAAAATGATCTCTTCAAGTTCTGGAACATTTTGGAAAGCTTGACACTTTGCCTAAATCAACTTAGAACTTGGTGAAAAATTGCCAAGAATTTGGGATAAATATCTGACCAAACTTGTTGAAAATTTCACTAAGTGTTTTGATAAAAATGTCATGACTTCATGGGCCTATATCTCCTAATCCAAGCATTTTTTGGACATCAACCCTAAAGGACAAACTTGTAGAATTCATCATGCTCTACAACTTTCATGTTGAAAGTTTTCTTTGAATCATCTTGCATCTTGGTGAAAATGGTCATGAAGTAGTGAATTTAATAAGGATAAAACCACTTAGAATTTTTCTAAGTCTTGGAAATCTTGACTTTTTGTTGACTTTTCTTGACTTTCTTGATTCTTGATGATCAAGTTTCATATTTTTGAATGTCTTGATGAATCTTAATCTTTGAAATTCAATGTTGACCAAAAAGTCAAAGCTTGACTTTTGTGTGTCAGTTGACTTTTCATCAGTTGATCCAAATTTCAACTATCAATCATTTGATATTTGAGGATACTTTGAACCATGCAATTAATTAAAGATGTTTTGTTTGAGTCATTAATATCATGCTTTAAGTCATTAAGACATGTATTAGGTCAAAAGTCAATGATCAGTCATTCTCAGTCAAAACCCTAATTTGGTCAATTTTGCCCCTTTGATGATTTGAATGCTTTCCTTGAGGAATTGTGATCATCCCTTGATCAAATGATTAATATCACTTCAAAATGTTTATGTTGAAAAAAATATTGAGGTCTTACTGTATGTTGACCACAAATAAATTTTTACCCAATACAGTTGATTTCCAGTCATCTGAGCAATTGATTGAGAAAATTTGTGATGCAAGACTTGAAACTTGGAATGAGAATTCTTGGAGGCCTATGATGAACCATGAAAGTCATTTGAGACATTAGAAGTCCAATTTTCCATGTGAAAACCAAAACCCTGATTTGTGGTCTCAGTGTTTAGGAGGTGAGTTTTTCTGATTAACTCTTTGACAATCCTTGAGCATTTGAGATCTTTTGTGAGAAATTTCTTGAATAAAAGGGAGGGAAAATTTTTAGGTACAAGACATTGCATATAGTTATCAATGTATAAAATTTCATCTTCAAAAGCGCATAGCCGATCCATCAGAATGGATCTTTGCAGTAAAAGAAATTCAAACATGCATACAAAGCATAAGCCAAATCAGATACCTTACACAAAAGACATGAATACTTCAAATACAACAATACATCCTTATAAGAGGATATCGCTCTCAAATATTTGGCTGACATCCTCTGTTACATCACAATATCCATCTAGCAGTGTTAGTACATTGTACTTCCTAAACACTTGTTAGTGACAGTTTTCTAAACATTCGTCCGTGTTAGTTTCCAAAACACTCGTCCATGTCATTTTTCTAAACACTCATTCGTATCAGATTTTCCAAATACTCGTGTGTGTCTTTTTTCCCTCTATATCCCAATAAGATCAATACATTCAATCGTACCTTGTACCTTCACTCGTCATGTCGTAACCAATGTTCTCATCTTAGAACCTGAGATTGCCCGTAGGCTAGGTTCTCCCTATAGATCATCTTAGAACCTGAGGTCGCCCATAGGATAGGTTCTCCCTATGATCATCTTAGAACCTGAGATTGCTCGTAGGCTAGGTTCTTCCTATAGATCATCTTAGAACCTGAGATCGCCCGTAGGCTAGGTTCTTCCTATAGACCATCTTAGAACCTGAGATTGCCCGTAATTTAGGTTCTTCCTATGATCATCTTAGAACCTAAGATCGCCCGTAGGCTAGGTTCTTCCTATAGATCATCTTAGAACCTGAGATCGCCCGTAGGCTAGATTCTCCTTAAGGATCATCTTAGAACATGAGATCGTCCGTAGGCTAGGTTCTCCTTAATGATCATCTTAGAACCTCAGATCGCCCATAGGCTAGGTTCTCCCTATGATCATCTTAGAACCTGAGATCGCCCGTAGGCTAGGTTCTCCCCATGATCATCTTAGAACCTGAGATCGCTCGTAGGTTAGGGTCTACTTAATGATCATCTTAGAACCTGAGATCGCCTATAGGCTAGGTTCTCCCTATAGATCATCTTAGAACATGAGATTTCCCGTAGGCTAGGTTCTCCTTAATGATCATCTTAGAACTTGAGATCGCCCGTAGGCTAGGTTCTCCCTATGATCATCTTATAACCTGAGATCACATGTAGGCTAGATTCTCCCTATAGATCATATTAGAACCTGAGATCGCCTTTAGGCTAGGTTCTCTCTATGATCATCTTATAACCTGAGATCGCTCGTAGGCTAGGTTCTCCTTAATGATCATCTTAGAACCTGAGATCCCCCATAGGCTAGATTCTCCCCATAGATCATCTTAGAACCTGAGATATCCAGTAGGCTAGGTTCTCCCTATATATCATGTTTTAGAATTCTGAGGTCGCCCATAGGCCTAGTTCTCCGACAGATCACTCTTATGTTTCACCTTAGGATCATAGGTCGGCAGTAGATCTGATTCGCCATCTTTTTGTACCAATCTTTTCCTTGTATTGGCATCACCGCCACGTTACTAGTCTAATCTTTGTCTTGTATTAGCATCATGCCACGTTACAAGTCCAATCTTTGTCTTGTATTGGCATTGTTTCCATGTTACAAGTCTATCTTTTTTCTTGTATTGGCATCACCGCAACGTTACATGTCATTACCTTTCCTTGTATCAGCGTTGTTGCTACATTACAAGTCAGCCTTTCTCTTATATTAGCCTTTGTTGCTACGCTATAAGTCCAATCTCCATTTTCTCACTAGAAAACAGAAAAATTAATTCCCCCGCAGATATCACAAAAATAAATAAACACTCACACTTTCTTTCAGAACAAATTTTTGGCATTGGTATTTAATCATCTTCTACCTCGAACGTTCGAAAGGCACACACTAATCGTACTTTTAGGTTTAAGACGATTAAATAGGGGCAGTTGTAATACGCCAAATTTGTCCTACCCTTTCACTTTTATCTAGTTTATGCATCTTACACTTCTCTCATGAACATAACTTCCATTAGGTCATACAATAAATCATGCATCATCAATAAATTTAGCATGGGATTAACGTTCATGAATGGAATTAGGGTTTTACCCTGGTTTGAGGTGTACAAATCAAATAAGCTCGGATTATCTGGTTCTATTATGAAGCATGGATTAGGGAAGTAGGGTTTTGATATGGTCATTCATTATGGACTTATTTCTCATCAAATTATAGGGTGAACTTCTACCAAGATTCATCAAGGCAGGTGCTTAGGGTTTTATCAATGTTTCAACCAAGAGTACTTTGAGTTAGCATTTTGGTTTTTCTCTACATCTTAAGTCATTCTTTCATCAATGTGTATTTAAGGCACTATATTAGGTTTTTATCTTCATCAAAGTGTTTTCTCAAAGGCATTACTTTGGTGATGTGATCATTGGTCATCAATTCAAGATGTGAACCATCGGGCAAGATGTTAAAGTTGACTACTCTTTATGTTCAAGGCATCCTTATCCTTTCAACTACTTGTTGTTTCAGTCAAAAGTTAAGTCAATCGAGGATAAGGCATTAATCAAGCATGGCGTGTATTGGACTCATTTTCTCATGGTATAGTCGATTTAAGGGTTTATATGTGCTACAAACGCAATATTTCCATGTGATATCAAATACGAACATACACACATCAAGTCCATTCAAGATCAAGATTCAATATCCAATGTTCAATTCATCACCATTTTCACAAAATTCAAGTTCCATACAAGGTTTCAAGGCAAATGCATTTGAAGTTTTTCAAATACTTTCATGGTCAAGAAGTCGAAGTCATTCAATTTCAATATCGAATCCATACAAATTCTAAGCGATAATTACAAAAAATACACATTCCGCTGAATTTATTCAACTTCAGTCAAGCCATATTCAATTTCTATTATACATTGTAATTTCTTTTACACTATAATACATCCATATAAGTAACAAAAAAATACAAAATCCTAATGTCCTAATCTCCATCCTCAAGATTTCCTTCATATCCTGTTTTAGCTTGTGAGGTCTCATGTTATGCCCAAGAATCCAAACCTCGTCCATGCATAATCACCAAAATGAAACAACCCTACATATGTAATCAAAAACAGTTGGCATTCAAAAATTACACCAATCTTACTGTTAAAATTACCAAATGCCAACCATGTTACGCATAAAACCGGCTGCTGCAACATATATCAAAACTGAGCCAGATCGAGTTCAAATATCCAAAGCCAACACCAAAATATATCCATAGCACTACTTCAGTTTAATATATCAGGAAACAGGGAAATCAGGAGAAAGTATTAAACCAGAAAATCATTAAATCAAAATCCTGCACATGGAAAAACAGAATATTCTAGTTAGCTCATAAAAATTTAAACTAACTACCTATAACAGAAAAATAACAGAATTCCATAACCCCTAAATAACTCTCTAATTGTCCTAACCGATTTTTCTAGCTCAGTTTTTAACATCATAACAAATTCAGATTTACAGGGAAGGATATAAAATTCATTCAACACTTTCACTGGAAAAATCACAAGAAACTCACCTGAATTCATTCCTTCTAGATCTCTCTGCAAAATCACCATCAAATCCTCTCAACTTTCTCTACCTCATCTTCACCATTCTTCAAAAACTCAGAAAAATCACAAAATACCAAGACCTCTAGCTCTCTCTGCAAAATCACCTTCAATTCATCTTTCTTTGAATCTCCAATTAACAACCTCACCACCATTCTCCAACCTGCATCAATTCCCTACACTCTTCTCCCTGCTCGCTTCAATCACAACAAGGATGTATTATCTTCAATTTGCACCAAGAATCCGCATATGTTCAACAATTCAAAGCTTCGTATCTTCAATTTTTCTCATTGCAAAACACACATGAATTCAACAACAACTATCAAAAAAACGCACACGGCAAAAAATCTGAAAATTCAGAAGAGAGAAGAAGAATAATTAAGGAAAAGCATGCATATTTAGAGTAATAGGAAGCACATACCTAAGGTCTCTGAACCTCATTGGTCATCTCCTCCTCAGCTACTCCTCTGGCGGTGTTGGTAATTTTCGAGATCCTTTGATCTTATCTTCTTCATGTTCAAAGCGGCTAGTCACACTTTATGGCTCAGAAAAGAGAACCTCGATGGTTGCCTCTGTTAATCTTGCACCATCACCATGAAATTTAAGATTTCAATCCCTAGAATTTTTCAAGGCGGACTATGATATCGCTAATTGATGAGATTTTTAGTAAAGTCTAACGTCGAATTCGTGTTATGTGTTCATTTGTTGGCGATTGGGGAAGGTTCAACAGCAACAAGGCCTCCAACAGTAGAGAAATGTGAGTTAGATATGAGGAATTGAAGACGAGTCAGTTGACAACGCGATTTTGTGTGACAGAGAAACGAAGAAGAAGACTCTTCGCGAAAATAAATAGTCACAAAGTTTGTGAACCCTATTCTCTCAAGCTAAATGCATTGTATCCTCACCATTTTCTTTATTCTCCATTTCTATTTTGATCATAAAAAATGTGAATACAATTGATGGAGGCTGCATAGTTAGGTGGACCAAATTCCTCTTGTCCTTATCCCAAAGGGAGATTTTTGGTGGTCCTTTAGTGTGTATAACCGAAATGCTTAACGGACCTTGTTCCTGATGGGCCTAGCGTCCCTTACTTTTTCCAGACCCCCTGAGTTTAACTTTGCATCATGTTGAACCCTCACTTTCTATGGTTAATTCAATTTAATTATAATTTTGTTGTGATTGGTTTTAAGTGATTGGGAGATAATTGTTGAAAAGTTTCAAGAGGTTTTGAAGCAATTATAGAACCACAATTTCCATCAAGAAAATTTGAGGAAGTTTTTGGTAGAGTTTTCTTATCGCTTGTGTGGATTTAAAGAGGCGACGAACCTTTTCTGTTAGGTATCATCGTGGCTTCACTTTTATCTCTCATTTCCATATTTTATTGCTTTCTAGATATCATGAGAAGTAGGAAATAAAGAGCGTGCACTCGAAGTCATTATTTAAAGTCCTGTAGCAGGCACTTCTCTCTGTATGCTATTTGAGTTTGTTTAAAACCTTACCTTTGAAGTAGAAATTTCGCACGTATGTTTACATTTGTGCTCGCATATATTCCCCCATCCCTTATCGATATCTTCAAAAGTAGGTGAGCAGAAAGGGTTTGCAATCAACCCCTGCATTTCGTCTGTGTCATCCTTAGCTCGTGACGCACCACAATGCTTCAGAGTTGTGCCCTACTCTTGTTATCGATTCGTCAAGTGGAAAAGGGTTTTGCAACCAATCCCCCACACTTTGTTAGGAGTTCTCATTGGTCAATGCTAACACTCCGTGATTGTTCATATTGCCTTATGTCTCCTACCTCGATCTTCTATAACTTGGTTAGGTGTTCAGTCGCTTTGGACATCACGTTTTTGTTTTACATCCTATTCTCGCTTGTTTGCTTCTGGTGATCCATTTCCCTTAGCTAAGGCATTTTTCTTCTTTTATATTTCACTCCCGCTTGTTTGTCTCGGGGGATCCGCTCCCCTTTACTAAAGCATTTATCTTATTTTCTTTATCATTTCATGTGTGTTCTCCTTCGAGCTTGCTTGTTTTTATGCTTGTACATACCATGTTCCCTTAGGATGTGCTTGCTCCTTTCGGATGCAAGATTATACTTTAGGCTGCAAGCCAAGCATGCTAATATTAGGTAGACGTTTCTCGTTTGTTAATCCAAACCTTAGTGTTGTACCCCAAAAATTTCCCTCCCTTTTCTTCAAGACATTCTCCTAGGTTTCTCAAATGCTCAAGGTTGCCCAATAATTATTCAGACAAATTCTCCTTCTAAGCAATGGACTTACAACTAGGGTTTCATTTTTCTCAAGTCATTTTGGGTTTTTATGGCCTCAAGTTGTTTCCGTGGTTTCTTATAGGTCTCCAAGAATGCTTATACCAAGTTTCATACCTTGCATCACAAGTTTGCTCAGTCAATTGCTCAGATGACTGAAAATCAACTGTATTGGGTAAAAAGTCAACTATGGTCAACATACAGTCAAACCTCAAGATTTTTAGTCAAAATAAATATTTTGAAGTCATATTCATTATTTTATCAAGGGTTGATCATGATTCATTAAGAAAACTCTCAAATCATCAAAGGTTAAAAGTTGCCAAATTAGGGTTTCCCTTAGAAAAAGTCAACTAAACTTTGACCAAGCATAACTTCCCCATGCTTCATCATATTTTTCTTATTCAAAGCTCATTTTTAAGTAAATTCAATTCTATACAACTTTGTCTCTCTAAGCTCAAGTCCAAAAAATGCTTCATTTGAGAGGTACAGGCTAATACATTATAGGTCATTTCAAAAGTCAACAAAAAGACACTTTTTTTCAAGGCATATTACATCAAGATACATCTTCAAATGAAAATATGATAAACATAGAGATTGTAGAGACCATCTTTTTCCAAAAAGTCCAAGATCACATTCAAAAGATGAAAATCGAAGGAGTTATGACCAGTGCAAGTTTAGAGATTTTGAGCAAATGCATGAAATTCAAATTGAGCAAACATGAAATTTTGGGCTATTGGGGTATTGTTTTAAAGACCAATTGTGTTATATACTTTATATATACCTTAGATATTACTCATGTACCCCTTGATCTTTTTATTTTAATTATTTTGATTTCATTCATTATTAATTCAAAATAAATAAGATAATATACAAGGCTTATTAACAAAGGTTCAAGCCCATGTTATGTTGACCTAATTCCATGCTGTATATTCTCCACAAATCAGACGCAAAATCCATGAACCCTTATACAAAAAAAACTTGCCCAAAAATCATAAAATTTTCAAATCTAAGGCTACTTGCAAAACAAAGTTTCGACCATTTTCAATACATACTAACCATCCTAATCATTCCCAAGAGGATCAGAGGGTAAGAGGAGATCGTTTACAACGATCCAAACGGCCAGAAAACTCATATATACCTCACCGGTTTCTTACATTGCATGAGTTTTGCATTCTTGTTTTTCAATGCATTTTAATATTTACTAACGTCACTTATGTGTTTCTGAGATTCAAAAGGGTAGGAAAAACCCATCCTGGAAGTCCCATGCTAATCGAATCATAAGTTTCCATGTCCACACTATTTTTAATAATTCTCATAGAATCTCTTTTTGCAGCGTGATTCAGCCTAAAAAAACCCTTCCATTGAATTCGTAGAGTTGAATTTAGGGGGGTAGGGTATTCTTGGAATGCTAATATCTATTATTTTGCAAGTTTGAAGAAGGGAGGAAATTGGAGAAGACGACAGGAGCTAGGGCCACGACGCCTCTCCAGTCCAGACAATGTTTTTATGTTATAATTAATTAGTTTCATATAAATCACCAGATGTATTATTGCCCAACGGTTGTAGCGCACGCGATAAGATGTTACTATGCCAAGGCATGGGTTCGATCCCATCCTTTTGGCATTTTGATATTTTTTCATGATTTTACTTGTTGTGCAGATTACAAAAGGCGCTGGTTCCCTTTCCTTGAAACAGGCGCGCGCTTGACTTGATGGTGAATGTGTTGGTTGGAGTTGCTGAGGGCGTGGGTTCAACACCCATTCCTGCCAATTTTGGTTTTTTCCCATAATTCTCTATTCTTTTACTCTTTTCCTTTTTATTTTCCTCTAAAATTTCACACACAAAAATTTAACAAAAAAACCTTTTCTTGTATAAACCCTAATTAGTTTTAGATTTTTATTTAATTAAATAAAATTAGACTTTAGGTTTTTTCATTAATTAATCACTTTTTCCAATTAAAATCAATTTAGGTTCTTTAAGTTAATCATCAAACCTTTTTATCAATAAAATCGCCAAAAAGCAATCTTCTTCTCCTTTCGCTTTCCTATTTTATATTTTCGCGTAGTTTATTATTCTCGCGTTTTTTTCCAATTATTATAACTGCTTAAAGTTTGTGATAGTAATTAGGTTTACTTTTCCGCATTTTACTACTATTTTGTATTTCTCCCAAAGCCATGTAATAGTCTAGGATTTTTATTTTCCACCTTTATTTTCCGTACTTTACCGCTTTCCTATTTTACTGTTACTATTAGTAATTAGGTCATGTTATGCAAGATTAAAAATAAATGACAGTTAACTCTAATCGAAGATAAACAATACTTGCGACACAAATCACTTTGCACACTTACACCTCTATGATACCCTCTCTTGTTGTTTTACAAATAAAAGTCATGTCCCTCGAACATGGGGACACTTTAACATAGTCCCTCAAAAACAAAGATCGTAGTTCCTCGATGACCCTTTTGATGCTACCTTCGATAAACGATCTAGTCCCTTACGAAATTGTTAAAGCGCCCCTACAAGGTTCCTTCTATGACTGTATGATGACCCGCGCATGTCCCTTCACATCCAACGATAGGGCTTCCTACTAACTAATGGTAGGATAGCACTATCTAAAGGAGAAGGAAAGAAAAAGAAAGACTTTTAGTAGGTAGAACGCTCGTAATAACTTGCTCACAAACATTTCAAAGAAAAACATTTTTCACAAACACTCTTCGAAAATATTTTCAAACAAAAAACACTTTGT